GACTAAAGTGTGAATATAGAAGCACGAATCATGAGCAATTCCTGAACAATCTCTCACAACCCGTGATTAATTCCTAAACCTCTGAAGTGAAATGGGTAATCAGAATGTTTGATGAGGAGATGTCATTATGTCAAAACAAAAGCCTCTATCATGCCAACTTATTGCAATAGATTTGAATGAATTAAAAACTAATTAGATCCTATGAATCTGAATTGGTTTGAACTATCACTTATATGATATTTATTTATTATATTGTGCAGCCTGGCAGACAGCAGTTCTGAAAGGATTGACAGATAGATTGCACAAAGAAGCATTTTTTGTAATAAGTGGTGCACTTTTGTTCAAATCAAGAATGCTGATACACTAGCTAATCTTATCAATCTAGAGCATTGGCAACATTGTATAGAAGGGCAGGCCTGGTGCAGTGGTGAGAGCTGTCTCACTGAGTCACCAGGTCGTGGGTTCGAAGCAGCCTCTCCGCAGATTTGCGGGGGGAAGGCTTGCCTCGGTTTTTCCCTTCCCCAGACCCCACTCATGTGGGAGCCTCCGGCACTGGGTCTGCCCTTTAGTTGGACACAGTTACGAGAGCAACAGATGGATAAGACCAGCATCATACCCACTCGTATGTGCCTTCCTGCGTTCCATCAAGAACTGTAACCCAATCCTCTTGGTTTTTAAAGTAACTCTTTTCGCGAAGAAGATCCCTAACCTGCACCATTGGCAGAAACAGCAGCAGCAAATTTGAGTTAAACAGAATGTTGATGACCATGGTAATAAAACACACAGATTCATTTAGAGAGAGCATGCTACATCCACTGATGAATGCAGTGACGACATTATTGAAAGGTTATGCTAGAAGAACCATTTACCGCTTGCAATATTGCCTCGGACTTTTGTGCACCCAAATTTCTCAGCCCTGCGGTGGCCTGCGCATAGAGAAGGAAGCTAATACAGTAAGAACACCATGAAGCATCAATTACACAACCTAGTGGTACGGTGTGCCACCCACCCCGACTCTAACAGGCGTTTGATCGCGCAATTCCGTGGGCACCACTCGCTTGGCTTCATCAAGGAGAGAGACGAGCGACTCGGCGGCCTCCCGGGGGTCGTTGGCATAGAAGCTAAGTCCCGGTTTTTTCTGCAGGCGAGAGGGGAGGGAGCTTTGAGATCACGAGACGCGAACCAGATCCAGATCCAATTGACGAACAGGTAGCGTACCTGGACGAAGAGCTCGATCTCGCTGCCAATGTGGACGAGATCCAGGATGGAGTCGAAGCGGAAGACGTGGACGCGGCTGCCGGAGCTCCCGGCGTCGAAGATGACGGCGTACTTGTCAGCCCCCGCGGGCCCGGACCTCCTGGCGACGCCCGTGGTGGCTGGCGAGCGCGGCATGAGGAGGAGGACGAGGGAGACGAGCGCGAGCGGGGCGAGGACGACAAGCAGGACGCCCCGGTAGCGGTGCGCGCGGTCGGCCAGCGTCTCCTGGCGGCCGCCGTTGGGCAGCGCGGAGTAGCGGCGCATCTTGGCGGCGTCGGTGGGGAGGAGCAGGAGATCCGGGGACGAGGGCGTGCGGTAGCGGACGCCGCGGCCGGCGCTTGCGGTTGCGGCAGGTGTGGGGGCCGGGGGCGACGGCGACGGGTTGGACGCCTCCTGCTGCTCGGGATCCAGCGCTCCGCGTCGGGGCGCGCGGCGCGCGCGTCGGTGGTGGATCTGCTGCTGCTGCGACTGCGTCGTGGCGGGGTGAGGGGGAGGGAAGACAACGTTTAAGGCGGGCGCGGGGATACTTTGAGTTGACCTCGCTCAGGCTTGGGAATTGGGATCGCGTGTCGTCGGGGCGGGGCGTGGGCAAGCGGCCGTTGGAGGCGGGTGGGCGGCGGACGGAAATGCGAGCCGCCTCGGGATCTGCCGCGGGCGGACGGACAGGGGAGATGCAAGCGCGGCTGCGCGGGGAGGGGAGGTGCTCTCTGCCTGCCGAACCGCCCGGCTGGCTGTGGTGCGCGGAATCCAAGGGGTGGGAAACCGGCGGGTTTGGAATGGGACGGCGTTTTTATACTGGCCCTGGCCGCGCGGCGACGGTGCGTGCCCGTGCTGCTGAGTTCGCCGTGCCGGTGCCGGAGGCTTCCGGGACGCGCGCGTCGCGTGGGGGGCTTGGGGTTGCTTTAAGAGTCGAGACAATTCTTTATTTCACACAGGTAAAATGAGTCGTTTATTTTTTGTTTTGAAATTTTTTTCGTTTCTTATTTGATACTCACTTGAACTTTCATTCCTAATATGATACCGCAGTCAAATTCGTCAGCTAACGGTGTTAAGTGACTGTTAAAAAGATCTTTTTGCCCCTGGGTCAAAAACATGTTGACAAAAAAAAAGAGCAGCCAGCGGCCAGATACGCTACATGCATGCGTCCGCGCCTCTGCATGCGCTGCATGCATGGGGCAAAAAGGTCTTTTTAACAGCTACTTAACACCGTTAGCTGACGGATTTGACTGCGATATCATATTAGAAATGAAAGTTCAAGTGAGTATCAAATAAGGAATAAAGAAAATTTCAAAACAAAAAAAAACGGCTCATTTTCCTGCCAAATAAGGAATTCTCTCTTCAGAGTTTGGCCGGGCACCCGAAGGGCTGCGGCGGCGTGGAACGAATAGGAACCCGGGCCCCGGGGACTCCGTCCGTCTCCATGCTGGGTCCACGCGCGACCCCGCGTGTTTGGTGGAAAACTTGTGACTGGTTCACCGCGGTGATGGATTGTGAACGGTTTTATTTTGGCCTTTGTTACAGTACCTTTTCTATACGTTGACTGGCGTCGCCGTGACGACAAATAGGTGCTCGGGTTTCGTCTGAGAATCAGGTGCTCGAGAACTCCACCTGGTTCAGATGGCAAAATGAAAATCGTAGCACAAGCTAGCGGACTATCGGATCGGTTACGCCAAAACGTAAAAGATCTTGCCAAACCTTGCATACGGCATCGGCAATACTCACTCTGTCCTGAAAGAATGAATTTCTAGTGACTTTAGGATAGATTAGCAAAAAGGATAAAAAGATTATGCTACCTTTTATTAAACTGTTGAATCTTAATAGCTCTTTAGTTACCGAGAAGCCTAACTAAGTAGTATTATTTAGAGTACCAATAGCAGCGTAGGAGAAAGAGGTTGTGTTAAATGCAACCCAGACTACGAGCAAGTTGACGAAGTACTCCTCACGACTTCTTTTAAAAAGCAAAAAAGGTTAGGCAGACGGTGGACTAGCAAACTGTAGAAAACCGGCACGCGAACGGACAGTGGGCCGTTAATCTTTTTTTTTCTTTTTTTAAAAAAAATCAAATGTTGGTATAAAGTTCAGCTAGTCTTGTATTGGGCCAAGACTTATGTCTCAGCAGGCCGAGTTCTCAAAGTAGGCTCTAGCAGCTCGCCTGCTCGTAACAGATTTTGTTGGGCCTACTAAGCCCAAAGCGTTACCTGAGGCCGCGAGGCTCCTCCAAGCCAAAGCTGGGTCGTAGACCCTGTAGCTCGCAGGCCCCCAGCAGGATGCGCTAAAGCTAATACCGGCTAACGGGATGGCAGGCAGCCCAACGCCTCAATTAGGCCCCCTTTGGAACACGGCATTTTTTCCCATTTCTGCATTCTATCTTAGACCCCAATTAAGCCCTCAGGTGGAAACAGAAAATTTTCCATCGGGGAATGCCTCCTATCTTTATTTCCACGGGGAGGAAAATTCTATAACCCCACCCTTGTCAAAACTTAAACCTTTGTTAGATGTTCATGTATCTATCTCAATCCACACAGCCCACTCCAACACGTATTGATTGAGTTGAATACATGGACATCTAAACAAACCCTTACAACCAATAATTTATCCTCATTATTGGCCCCGTGTGAGGAATTAGTCCCCACAAACTGTTCCTGGGCTAAAGCTAATACCTGCTCACTAGGATGGCGTACAGATCAACATCACTAGGACTCACCTAAACCTTTTTTTTTTTTTGCTTTATTGGACTAGGTACCCAGGCACGTTAGATGAGTTATACTAGTTAGACTTAAAAAATAGTTTAAATTAGTTAGGTGGACTAGCTGGTTGGCTAATAACTAGCTAGAGACTTGACTTAAAATAGTAGTCCACCTATTAGCCCTCTTATTTGATATATTAAGGCTAATTTTTAGCTAGCTAGCGATTAGCTATTATATCAAATAAGCTCTAAAAACAGAGTGTAATACGCGCAGCAATGACCACAAATTCCACCAACACTACATCGCATTATTGACGCGCTAGCAAAGTTTAGAATCACCACACAATGCAAACAAAGAACTCCTATGCGGGGAGGAATCTCTGCCCTGAAGGCCTCACAAGTCACACCGATCCCTAAAGATTCGTTGATTTGAGGTGAATCAAAGGTCGAACGTATCCGTCACGTCAACGTTACGTCCCCAAGGCCCGGAGCTGATGCCTCTCGCCTCACTCTGCAAGCGTAGTAGTAGTCCTCCCGATCGCACGCACTCGATTACCGTTGACTCGTTGATCACAGCTCCCCACGTGGCAACTTGGCACGTGCCATCACCGTGCGGTTTTGACTTTGACGGACGGGTGGAAGCCTCACGGGCTCACGGCCTTCCAGTACGGCAGCACCCGAGCGAAAGAGAGGACGGCTCGTCGGCTCCACCCCCTCCATAATTTGACGCACGATGATCGTGATCCGGATGCCGGTCCCACAGTGCGGGTGCAGCGCAATAATGGAATTGTTAGGCGTGGCGGTGGCCTCCGTCCTCTTCCCCGCGATGCCGCAACGCCACAATCACTTCTGGCCTACGCCTCTCGCTCTCACGTCGCCATCACCCTGAAGTGGCGAGAGGTTAACAACATGCCACCAGCCGCTACAGCCGCCGCCTCCTCCTGCCGCTGCCCCTCCACTCCCCAGCCCCCCCGCTCTTCCCACTTCGAGTTCGAGTCCAACCACCTTCACTTCGCCTCCTCCTCGACCTCGCCAACCACCAACCCCGCCATTCTCAATGGCGGCCGCCGCTGCCAACGCCGACTACCTAGACGACGACGAGTTCGATTACTACAACCCGCACCCCTACGCCGGCGGCTACGACATCACCGCCACCTACGGCTCGCCTCTCCCGCCCTCCTCCGCCACCTGCTACCCCGTCGCCTCTCCCGCTGCGACGCCCGCCCCCACCGCCCCGCAGCCGGTGCCGCGATCTCCGCTCCCTCAGCCGCCCGCACCCGCACCCGCACCCGCCCCGGCGCCAGCGCCAGCGTCACTGCCCCTTCGGCCGAGCTCGCCACCATCCCCGGCCCCGGCGCCCACGGCGGAGCCGTACGACTACGGGGACGCGCTGCGCCACCAGCCGTTGTACCCCACGCCGGAGGTGTTCCGCGGGTGGCCGTTCCTGCCGCCGCCGCCGGTGCCGCACTGCCGCTGCCGCTCCGCGTGCGCGTGCGCGTGCGCCCGCGCCCGCCACCGCGACTACTGGAGGCAGTGCATGCGGGGGCTGGACTTCCTCTTCGGCCACTGCGACGGCTACGGGGAGCGCCGCATCGGGGTCGACTCCCTCGGGGTCCCCGTCTACGCCAACAGGAAGGGGGGCGTCGAGGACGCCGTCGTCGTCGAGGTGGCGCCGCCGGCCACCGGGACTGTGCAGTGGCGCGACGCCGGCCAGGAGCAGTTTCAGAGCAACGTGAGCAAATACACGCGCGTCGTGCCGTTCTGGATTTTCCTCAGCTCTCTCCAGTGTTGTGCTGCCATTCTTACTGACGGATGGGGGATTCCCCTTCTATTTTGTTGTTTGGAAACAGCGATCGTCCTGGTATGGTAATGCAGAAGAGGAGACGCATTCATATGAGCAGACTAGCTACACTTCATATGATCGATCTTATGAACAGCCTACCTATACTTCATATGACCGATCTTATGAACAGCCTACCTACGCTTCATATGATCGACCTTATGAACAGCCTACCTACGCTTCATATGATCGACCTTATGAACAGCCTACCTACACTTCATATGATGGATCCTATGAACAACACAACTGGTTTCATGGTGTTCCCGATGAGACTACTTGGTTTCCTAATCAGAGATACCAGGATGTCTACAGAGAGGAGGAATCTCAATACCAGGTGCTTATCATGCCTGGATAGTTAAACTTGTTTCCCCTCTATGATCTGTCTGAACTCTGTTGTAAGCTGGTATTCCCAGCGCAGGATCGTGGGCTTTCGTTAAGCTTTCAATAAAGCCGGGTGAAATGCCTTTGATCTATTATCATGCCTGGATATGTTGCTAACATGGGCGCTTAGCTCAATTATGCGTCAGTGTCACTGTAATCTTGCTTTTCAGTTATGTGAAATACAATTGTTTAATTTATCTGTTAGTGAACGAGTTAGCCATCTGCATCCCAGTTCTGTCTATAACAAAGCAATTTTAAATTATACACACACACATCTGTTCCACCTCACGTGATTTGTGCTATCTTTAATAGGAAAGTGTGGCTTGCCTCATAAACAAAAGAGTTTCATCTGTAGCTTCCAAAATAAACATAACCATTCTTTATGTTCTACGACCAACTACTTCTGAATCTTCCAAACTGATGCAGCATATTTTCTATTCTTCTAATAGCTGTTGAATATAACATGTAGGAATTCTTGTCTTATGATGAAGATAGTAAAATTTCGTCTCAACCTATTTTTAGCTACAATCAGCATTTTGGTGAACAACCGCTGCATATTCATGTTGAGCCTCCAGAAACAGTTTCTTCTCACAAGTTGGAGTACTATGAGGTTTGTTACTGATCTGGCAGCCCCATTGCTTTGTGTTTCATTTGGGTTTTAAGGAACATACTTTCCTGGATTATGTTTATTGATAAATTATATGCTTCTTCAGGAGAACCTTATGTATCTGTAACACATCTTGTGTTTATCAGTCCTCACTATTCTGAACTAAGTCATATTTTGGTCCTGGTGTAGAACTTCTCGACTTACAACAGCCAAAATGATGTTGATAATTTGGAGAGTTCAAGACAATCATATGAGACACAACCCTATGTGCACATGCCTTATGATCAACTTGAACCTTATAGGCCTTCGTGGTCTCTGAATTCAGGATACTATCAGGCCTGCACAGAAGGGATAACTCCTGAATATGACAATGTAAGTTAGATAACTTCATGGGTTTTGCCCCGCTATGCATATTGTTTGAATTTCACGCCTAGTTTTAATTGGGGGAAAATTTTCAATAGTTTGTGTGATTTATTTATGCTATCATTTTGAACCATTCTGTTTTAACACATCCAAACATTATTTCTGTCTTATCTGCTGTGTTACTGATACGTTTATGAGCTTTCCCCATTTTTGGATGCTCACTGTTCATTTAAATTGTTAATTGTTGCATGTGGTATGTCTATGGAATCTAATTATTCTTTGACCGCTTTGCTTACAGCATACACTGGCATCTGATGAATGCTGGGATATGTCAAGCTTATTTATGTCTCCATTCTATCCTCAAGAAACACGATCTTATGAGCAGTCTCATGGTGATGAAAATGTCTAAATTGGAAGAGCAACTGGAACGTGCTTTCTGAAGATAATCACCAGATAGCTAAATTGGTATGCACAGCAATGTGTGTGTGTGTTTTCTATGGTTTGTTGCTATATGAATCTGGATCAGCATACAATGGCCCATACTGTTTTCTGAAGCCAGCCAATTCTTCCATGTGGGACTGGATGTGCCATAATATCCTTTCCATTTTTCCTTGTGATTGATGGGTTACCTTTTGGTGGAGTCAGCCATTTTATTTCTTGGATTGCTAAACTGAACAAAGAAAATTGTTTTCTATTTTGAAATGCGGTAGATCGAAATGTCATAATATCCATTACAGGAGCTCTCCACATTTCTCACAAAGTTCCTTGATGAACCAAAATGGTTGTCGGGAACGGCAGAACCTTTTTGTTTTGCCATCCAACCAGACAGAAGCACGGAACTACCACTATCTCTATGGATATAATGGGCACCTAGTCGTTCTACTTTACTTAGATAGGGTGTCTCCGAGATATCATGAGTTATTGTTGCAACCGGGTCTGTAGCCTATTGTCACAGCCTCACTGGAGCCTTAGTAGCACCTTAGGTCCAGAGTCCGACTCCCCGTGGGAGCGAATTTGGACAGGCCTGGGTTAAAAAACACACCCGTCGTTAGCTGTGTTCCTGAGTTATAAGTCTAACCACCTGAGTCGATTTCAGCAAGATGCACATGGCTGCAGGCGCATGTCCTGGGCGCTCGGTGGCACATCTCGGCCAGCGCGCGAGAAGTTTCTTCTTAATGCAATACTGTGGGGGCAGTCTTTCCCCCGTAGGTTGAGTTTTTTGCTGGGCTTGCCAATACAATTACTCACATACAGAATTGTTTAGTGCTCCATTGGATCATTGTTTCTTTACCTTTAACATAGCTGTTTTCTTCTGGACGGTGGCACAAAAGAAAAGTTAGAATGATTTCAATTTCAATTGGCAATTTCAATGGATTATGTTTTTTGTTTTGATCAAATCAGGATATAGGAATTCTTTTGTCATTTTACATGCTTCTACTCTTTTGTGGTACAGTATTTTTCATCTTCATCATTGTGTAACAAGGTTGTGTGATATGTAACCTGCAGGGTGATGAAACTAACCATATTAGTCAATTCTGGAACTTTGGACATTACTCAACCTATACTGAATACTCTGTATTGTAGCAATGTCGCTTCAGGTTCAATTGTATTTGTATAATTGTATTCACATGTGATTTAAATTTACTGGCTATGTGTAATGAAAACTTTACTTGTAAGATATTATGTTCCAAGTATATGCGAGACCAGTTGCAGCATTGCTGACCAGAGATACATTCACCCTGTGTTAGATTTTCAGTTTGCCTAAAGCTGAAGCTGATTTTGTACATTCTTCTTCTTCGTTACCAGAGTCTTGTTTGTACCAGAAAATTCTGTGTTCCTGGCTGCAAATAGCATCAGATATTACATTCTTCCTTACATGAGTGCAAATACCAGTCTTTTCAGCTTGCTTTTCCCAAAGTTACCACAAGGTGGCTTAGTTCACACCTTAGTCTACAACACAACAACAACAAAGCCTTTAAGTCCCAAACAAGTTGGGGTAGGTTAGAGTTGAAACCCAGCAGAAGCAATTAAGGTTCAGGCACGTGAATAGCTGTTTTCCAAGCACTCCTATCTAAGGCTAAGTCTTTGGGTATATTTCATCATTTCAAGTCTTCTTTTATTGCCTCTACCCAAGTCAACTTCGGTCTTCCTCTGTCTCTCTTCACGTTACTATCCTGGCTTAGGATTCCACTACGCACCAGTGCCTCTGGAGGTCTCCATTGGACATGTCCAAACCATCTCAACCGGTGTTGGACAAGTTTTTCTTCAATTGGTGCTACCCCTAATCTATCACGTATATCATCGTTCACCTCAGTCTAATTTACAATTTTCATCTTGTTTGACGTAAGCCAGGTTTTGCTGTCTTGTTTCTGTATGTATGTCTTTTCACAATGTCCTGTGTCAAAGTTATTATGTAGTGTAAAACCAAACGATCATTTCAGGACCTTCGCAGGGCTCTACTTGCTCTGCATGTCATTTGATACCAGAGACTGTTGTGTTGTTCTTAAAATCTACTTATGTGGCATTCATCAGCAAGATGTTCTATGAAACATTTCTTCATGGTACTAGCTACTTTTTTGGTAGAACATTTCTTTTGTTTCAAGCTACACTGTGCTAGTTCATGGATAGCAGCTCGTGACATAATAGTATCTGGGAAGTGTTGTCTATATATGAAGAAACTATTTGTTCTTAGCTCTTCATTCTATCATCATTTCTAGGCAGTGACAGAGTTAGAAAAGCCCAAAGCTGCACTGTTTTCAGGACTTGTAGGATCCCTGAAAACTTGGGTCATGAAGCTACATCCGGTTACAGCGTACAAAGATGGACCCTCGTTCCAAGTATGATCTATTGGCAGGTAAGGTGTCACTTCTGGGTATCTCTCCTAGGCCCATAGTCTGCTGGTGCCGAACAGGAAATCATTGGTGGTTAACACTAGTGTTCGTTGCTATATATTTTCAGGTCAAATCTTTGCTGCTATCCTGGGCCTCCATGGCCTGGCCCAACTGGTCCTTTGGTCGACTTTGGTGTGGATGGAGGTGGAGAGATGTTCCAAGAATAGAACAGAACTCTGAGATGTTTTAAAGGTATGAATGAACTAATAAATTTCTGAACTCTGTAGTGAAGTGCTACTAAAGTAACTAAACAAAGTGTGAAATAATAGCGAAGGCCAATGCACTCTTTGTTTCCTGGTAGCACTAATAACCACTTTTGTTGCGTGTGCTACCTACCTTTTTGCTTGTCCAGTGGATGGTGATCAAACAAACAATTCTCTGTGCACACACAATTGTTTAGCCACAAGACTGTTTTACGTATCTCTGAATTGCTTTTGCTAGTTCCCCGCTCGTGTAAAGGAGCATCAAAAGGCACATCTTGCTCCAGCATAGGACTGACAAATGCCAGACCCACTCATCACTGGGATAGATATACATTGGATACTTGTTTCTTTTCATGAATCATGATCCTTGAAATAAGGCTACCTTACCCTGGGGAAGATAAAAAGGGGTCCGAAAGATGCCCTTTGATGTCAAGCCGTCTAATCTCCTTCTGCCGAGTTGTCCAGTTGAGCTGCCGTAGAAACAAGAAACAGTATAAAAAGTGGATGACTTTTGCATCACTTCCTATTTGACTGAACCTCTCTCACGACTTCCTGTAAAACACTAAAAAAAATTTGAGCGTGACACAATGCAGCTGCTCTCATGTTTCGTTCTTCGGTCTCCAGAGCACTTATCAGACGACTGCTGACAGCTTACTCTCATGTGTGGACTGGTGGCGCAAAAGGAAAATTCCGGCAGACCTGAAACCAACTGAGATGGTTGCCAATGGATATCCTTTACGGGCCTGTTCGCTGGTTGGTGCTGGTGCTGGTTTGGGCTGGTTCGTGCTGGTTTTTTGTGAGAGGAAAATACTGTTGGCTGGCTGGTTTGGGCTGGTTGAAACCAACAAGCGAACAGGCTGTACATCTAGAAAAATATACCGTGGGTGACTTTCCCTGTATTGCAACTTGCAGCATTCAAATACCAATTTGCATCAAGTTTGGCCACTTAAGTAATAATGTGTTCAAACGTCTTGTCAGTCCTAAAATGCTTGCCAGCGTGGATCTAAGGTATGACAAAAGCAAGTGCATTGACATCCACCTTGTTCGCTTTGGCTTATTTGACTTATAGGGCCTGTTCGCTGGTTGGTGCTGGTGCTGGTTTAGGTTGGCTGGTGCTGATTTTTTATGAGAGGAAAACACTGTTGGCTGGCTGGTTTGGGCTGGCTGAAACCAACAAGCGAACAGGCTGATAAGCTGTATTTTTTTAGCCAACGAACAGTACTTTTCTCTCACACTAAATTAGCTAATAGTACTTTCAGTCATGGCTTATTAGTCAAACAAGCCTAAACGAATAGGACAATATTATGCTCCAGGTTGCCTTTCATTTTTCTATAGGCCTTGTTCGCTTCTCTTATAATCCGTCTTTTTCAGCTTGTTTTTTCAGCTAAAACAGTATTTTTCTCTCACAAAAAATTAGTCGGAATAGTGTTTCGTCTTGTTTTTTCAGCGGAGTGAACGGGCCATAGTATGATTAGCCGCTTTTAGTGTATCGCTGCTAGTGGTGTGCATATGTCATCTAAGCTTACATCCTTTTCCTGTTTCTGATGAGTTTTTAAGGCTAGTGCATGTAGACATGGACAAGTGGCAATATTTTGTGAACGCATAGGCCCATATGATATGATGATCCTGGGCAGATCCCACTATTTTTAATTGCGTTCTGTATTATTCAAAAGGTACGGTCATAGTCTCATAGAGGGACTCATCAGATTATAGTTTATATATACAGGTCGGCCAAAGTTGCCACTTGAACATAGAGAATGGCGAACCGAAGCATCTCTAGTACGTGTAGATAGGGTGTGTTTGGTTTCTGGTTAATTTCTAGGCTGGGCAGCTTTAGTCTGCTCTTATCAAGTCAATTCTTAGTTGTTTAGTTGTCTATGCTGTGTAAGCCTGGCTGGCCTCAGGATGTGTTTGATTATCTAGTTTGTTTTAATATAGTCACCTCTTCTCTAAATATAAATTGGTAAGGTTACCTTCTTTCAGTCATTTTATCGAACAACTGGGGCGCTCATCCAGGGGCGCTCCATCGACGCTCTCATCCTCTGGTCGTCATCTCAGGATGAGTGTATTTGGTTATGATGACATGCAGCTTTCCTTCATTCTAGTAATTCTTACCGCGTGCAATGACAGTTTACATGGGAGTAATAAGCTTATCATTGGTAGTACTTGCTTGCGCAGTCAATCTCAGGATGACTACTACTTTGCCTGCTGTGTTTAGGAATTCGATCAGGAACAGGTGATCTGCCTGAGATGAAGGCTGAGCGTATTTCTTGCTTGCAAGTAGCTTTCTTGGAATAGAGAAGGTTAGTGAAGAA